CCCAGAATTTTATCATTATAATATGATATTTTATTTTAAAAAGTATAAAGTAATATATATTTAGTGGTGCTTTCTAAGGTACATAATATTTACAATAATAATAATTATTAAATAATAATAATAATGTAACTTGTAACTTTATTTTATTTGTTAATTACAATACATTTTGTGTCAATCATCCAGCTTAAAGTAAACAGCATCACTTGTATGTTTGCTCTCTTTTAGGGGAGCCCATCTATGAGACTTGCCTTACAAAAGTGGAAAAGATGATCTACAAACGTGTGAGAAAAATCGAGGGAGTGAAAGACATGGACTTCTACGCATTCTCCTACTACTACGACAGGGCTGTGGATCTGGGCCTCATTGGTATGAGATTAGTTTGATTGCTGTCATTTGATTTCATTCAAACATTGTTTTTCAGATTTAAGTGAAACAAATAATGAGGAGACTTTTTTTATTTTATTTTTTTTATTTTACTAAATTACAAACACTTTCTGTGTCTCTGACTCAGATGAAAGCACAGGGGGGACTGTCAGAGTCAGTGATTACATTGAAGGTGCCAAGAAAGGTAAGTGTGTTTTTGTAATTGAATGTAGTTGTATTTGTCTGATTTTATTGTGTCAGTATCTGACAAATGTCAGCAAATTTTTTTTAGAAAGAAATCTTTAATTTAGAAAAGATGCATAAATTGATCAAGACCGTCAATAAAAACCTTTACATTGTTACAAAAGATATATAAGATGATTATATTTCAAATAAATGCTGTTCTTCAGAACTTTCCATTCATCAAGGAATCCTGAAAAAAATTATCACGCTTTCCACAAAAATATTAATAAGCACAAATGTTTTCAAGATTATTAATGATAATAAATGTTTCTTGAGCACCAAATCGGAATGGAATGAATGTCATGGAAATAAGTTACATTAAATAAATCCTAGTATAAGAATGTTCTTAATTAGTTCATTAGTTTTTTAATAAATTTCAAATCTAGGTATGATCAGGTTGTTTTTAATAGGTGCCATTAAGAGCATTAAACACTTACACATAGGAATATATTAAAAGGTGAACCACCATTATTATGCCTTCCTTGTCAAACTACAATGATTGTTAAACATTTTTATTGCACTGTACTGTTTTTAATGTAAATGGGCAACAATTTTATAAAGATAGGTGATTAACTGATGTATTTAAAAAAGTATCACTTTAATGTATTTTTGATTTTTTTCTAGTATTACCCTTAAATATCTTATATAGCTTCTAGTTAATTGTATGACTATTGTTATTTATTCTGTTTTCGCCATGAAAATAGCCTTGCTGCTGACATGACGTTAAATAAATAAATAAATAAATAAATGAGCACCACATTTCTGAAGGATCATGTGGCATGTAAAATATTAAAAGGGTCCTAATATGCCTTTTCACTTTTTCAACTTTAGTTAGTCTGTAATGTTGCTGTTTGAGCATAAAAAAGATCTGCAAAGTTACAAAGCTCAAAGTCCACTTCAAAAGGAGATATTTTATTTAACAGAAATCACCTGTCACAAACTACAACGAACAACTCGTTTGGACTACAACGCATATTTTCCGGGATTTGTGATATCACAAATATCGACGAATGGGATGAGACTTGGTTGAGCTGCACTAGAGAAGGCAACAAGTGTTATCACTATGTCGGAGACGCTAGCTTTCCCAAGGCAGACAAACTTAGAGTGGTTACAATCATTGTAATAATGTACAATATGTGAAAAATAATGTGTTTTTGAACAACCTAGTATGAGAGCCTGTTCTCGTACACCCCCAAAACAAAATCAAGACTTTGTAAAAGAGCATAATAGTACCCCTTTAAAATAGAAAACAGTTAAATAATATTTCACAATATTACTGTTTTAACTATATTTTTGATTAAATAAATGCAGCGTTGGAGAGCATAAGAGATTTCTTTCTAAATAAATAAATGTATAAAACTTACTGTGGGAGAAATAACATGTCATGGTGCCATTATTGCTATAATGTTAGATGCTCAAATGTAAATGTGTACCTTGAATGCAGTCACTTTGGAAAAAAACATCTGCCAAATGCATAAATGTAATGTAAATGTACATTTTAAAAATAATCCACTCCGTTTACTTTTTAATTTAAACAGTTTAATTAAAAAAAAAATTATTAACTCTCTTCTGCTCCAGTGTGCAATAACATGTCAGCCGGAGGGATAAAGGAGTCTCCGTTCCTGTGTTTGGATCTGACTTACATCTCCGTACTTCTTCAGGAGCTTGACTTCCCGCCTGACAAAGAGCTGAAGGTGTGCTACTCTTGATTTATGATTCCTGACTTACTGTGCGTTCACACCGCCGCCGTCGAGAGCGTCAAAAATCGCTCTGGCCGCCCTGCCAACAACGCTGTAGAAAGATTCGTGGACGCTCTGACGTAGATCGAATGCTTATCTTGTATTTAAAGGGGACGCAAAGCAAACACGCTTGTTGATCTTGTGCAGACTGACCACAAGGAGGGTAACATTATAACCACCTTGGTCCACGCATAATTTTTTTATTTTATTTATGTCCTATTTTTTATAGATTTATGTCCTATTCCCAATAATCACGTCATAGATTATTGGGAAACCCGCCACAGCAATAATCAACCTCTCCTCCATTTTGCTTGGGAACTAATGTGGTCGGAACCAAAGTTTACAGGACTGCGTTCTCTGGAATCCTCTCAAGCGGTGGACTTCTATGTTCCGATTGGTTGCCGCCAGATGCCGCCGAACCGCGTCATAGCTCATTACCATAAAGTTGACCTGATTTCAACTCTCCTCGACGCCCTCAACGTCCAAGTCGCGCCGCGCCGCTGCTCGACGCCGGCCCACATTGAAAATGAATGACTTCCGGCCACTTTGACGCTCTCGACGGCGGCGGTGTGAACGCACAGTTAATAGGACTGTGAAATAGTTAGTGTGTGGAGACTTTTGGACCCAGACAGTTAACTACAGCAGTATGTGATTTATCTGTAATATTTTGAAGAACAAATGTCAGGGGTGATGCTGTGATTTTGTTTAACCCTATCAATCTGTTTAAATTTCAGCTGGCAAGACAAATAAATAACGTGGAGACTAGCTGGGCCCTCGGTGCCACTTTCTATTGCATAGAGTCACTCCATAAACATGGAACGTGCTGAAAACATAAGACACTCGCAACATTTGAACCGCTCCACAACCTAGTAAAGCACTAACTGATTTTAATGCTCTGGGAAAAATATCAACATTGATTGTATTTGCCATTTTGTCATTGAATTTATTCCAAATGTGAGTTTTTATACATACCTCTGACTTTCTGGATGGTTCTGTTTTCTTACTAGTATGTTAAGCTATGTGTGAAGGTTAAATGTATGTACTGGTTTGGATGTTTACAGCATGTCAGAATCATATTAGTCCGGGTTAATTATATAAAACTGATCAAAAACACGTGATTGCCTCAAGCTTGTAACAAGAAGTTATTTCATTTTTATTTTAGATTTAATTACTTTGTAGCTTGTATATTGATTTAATATATTACATACAGTATGTTTAAACAAATCATGTACTTAGTATTAAATATTATCTGCTCTCAGAGGGAAGAAAAACAGACCAGAGCTGTTACTGTCATGTCCATGTACTTTTTTTGTTTAGTTATAAACTTGCTGTTTAATGTGCCCATTATTAGACGTAGGAAATATGTTTATATAAAATGCCATATAAATACAATCTGAGAATGTTGAAAATTTTGCTCTGTGAGAAGTATTGAGAAAGTGCAATTGCACATAAAGTTCACAAGAAGATCATAAAGTGAGACAGCAGTATGTGGTCTGTCTTGTGTTTGCTCCCATCACGTCTTTCACCTGTTCAGACATGCTGCTGTTCTTTCTTGGTACCAGCAGGTGTCACAACACTAAAGCCTGCACACTGGCAGCCCAAATGTCACAATATATTACTCCGTGTTACTCACAGGATGTCGATTAAGTTTTTTTTTTTATTTATTTATTTATTTTTTGAAAAAGTGATTTATTTTCAAATCCATATAGAATTTACAATATGATTTTCCTTTTCCTCGTTTGTGGACCTGAAGTAACATATCTAGCTCTGGGAAGCATAAAAAACAAATGATGGGAATCTCAGTGTAGCAATGGAAGCCATTGTCCATATTGAAAAGAGTACATTGTAAAGTGTATATTGAGAAAAAAAAAAGTATATTGAAAAGATGTATTTTGCCTGAGAGCACAGCAATTCCTCTCTAAACCCATGAAATAATTGCATTGCATTAAGATAACACTTGAATGATTCATTAATTTTTAAATGTACAAATATTAACTGTAATCACTCAATATGAGGTCATAAAAAATATATATTTTATTTAAAGCCACCTTTCAAGACACTCAAGGGTACTTTGCATAATATAAAATAATTTAATAATAATTGTTTTAAATGTTTAAAAATAGATGGAAATCAAGCATGGCTTGTCACTGCTGCCACTGCATGTAAACTACTCATAAATAAATATATTAATTACTAAATATACATACCTTCAGAATTCACTTTCTAAATCAGACTCCTCCCACTTTAAATGTTTGCTTGAAGGCTCGTTCCATATACGGCCAGATTCTGGATCTAAATCAATCCGAAACTGTCGCTATCAATAAAAAGTCTGTATATAAATGGAATCTCGGCTCTTCTGAAACGTAAGGAAATGGGTAAATCTTTACAAGTCATCTTTACTAGAGTTGAAAGAGGCAGTGCTAAACTATTATATAATAGTTGCTTGCTAGCCAAAGCTGTTTATACAGTAAAACAGCGATTTCGGTCTAACTGCGGCCACGGGATTCATTTGTAACAACCTGTAGCTAGTTAGCGTTGCAAAGATGATTGACATCTCACGCAGCCAATGAAGACGCAATTGCGAAAGCGTCACTGGCCAATAAACAGATAATCTGTAAAGCCCCGCCCACTTTCTCTCCAGTTGACACATAGGGGCGTGTCTCAAAGGGAACAGTGCTTGTAAAGTCATTGCACACCGCACCAAGCTGTGCATAATAAGTCAAGGGGTCCAAACTTTCATTCTTTGCTTTTTAAACGCGTTGTCAACATGTCCAAACCTCTAACCGACCATGAAAAGCGCAAGCAGATCAGTGTTCGTGGTATAGCCGGACTGGGGGATGTTGCCGAAATTAAAAAGAGCTTCAATAGGCATCTTCACTTCACCCTAGTGAAGGACCGCAATGTGGCCACCCCGCGGGATTATTACTTCGCGCTGGCGCACACGGTGCGGGATCACCTGGTGGGCCGCTGGATCCGCACTCAGCAGTATTACTATGAGAAAGACCCGAAGGTACGGATCTCTTCCTCTTCTCTGTGAAGGCAGGAAGCCAGGAAGTGGCATGTTTGTGCAGTAGTGGGAAATACAAAAATGCATGTAATATCGAATTATTACTTATTTTACATACATTCTTAACTGCATGATAGACATAAATGCTTATTTGAAAAAATGAATAAATATTTGATGCTCCAGAATTGTGATACAAGTGACTTCAGTTAAGATTAAATGCATAAACCATAATCTTATTCATAGCGCATTGTAAACATTAGTGAATATTAATGGTGAATGTAACATTTACTATTTTATTGTGAGTCATTCATTAATTTCACTGTTTTATATGGAGAGTTAAAGGCCTGTGTTCGTTGACCCGAACTTGAGCTTTGTGTTCTTTGCGCAGACATCCATTGACATGGGTCAGCTGTGAGTTCGTGCTTCTTGTGAAAAGTGTGATCTATTCCTTGACACATCAGGTCGTCATTAGTAAATTGTAAAGTATTTTGCAACCACTTGATCTTCTGTGCTCACTAGGGCAAGTACAGATTACACTATACTGTCAAACCCAGTAGAAGATAATAGGCCTTATCTAATGCACTGACATGATCCATGTGCAGAATCACTCATGGCTATTAATGGTCACACCTGTGACCTGGGTGCTTTACAATGATTTGGGAGGTCATGATGTTTTTTTTTTTTTGAGAGCAACAAGCTGAAAGTGATCTTTCTTCTGGTCCTTTGTGGTTCCACTAATGTAGCTTGCGCTATATAGTGTTTCTGTAAAACCTGATGTTACTTGTTTGTTGATAAACATGAAATATAGCCATGTATTTTGAGTTAAAGCATTATGTGGGAATTATCTATACTTTAGGCCTTTTGTGATTTATTTATTATTAAAGCTCGACTGCTTTCCAGAGATTTGTGTGCTTTATTTCAGCAGTCATTTGAGCCAGTAAAAAATCCTCCAGTTTTTTTCCTCCAGTCTATATCTCTAAATGGAACCAGATAGCTTTATATGGTTGAGCTCACCAATACGTGAAGCATGTCCAGGAACATCATTCTTGTCAAGCATTAGGCTTGTTGAGGTTCAGACCTTTGGAAAAACACTAAAACACTGTGTCACTTTATTTAAACTTAGAGTATGCTGTGATTAAGCACCATCTCAGCATGTTAAAGTGAAGCAAGCATTTTTTTATTAATGTGGTATTCAAATATTGTTCAGTATGTATTTGAGGCCCTCAGCTGACTGTAAACTCCTCGCGGTGCAGACATCTTATGAATGGACTCTTATGAAAAGTTGATCCCAAGCCAAAAAGATTAAATCATGCATGTTGTATTTGAGCAACCTGGAAGCGACATGACCAGAGTATGAGTTTGACTTGGTTAAGAGGGAAAGTATGATAATGTGTTGTTTTTATTCATTTGTGATTGCATTACAAATGATTCTATTGATATTTCTCAAATGTAGCAGCATTGTGACAATCAGTTTTTAGAGCTTAGTATTTTACTCTCCTGTTCTGCTTTGGAAATGTACTCTAGAATAAACAACAATATATTGGTAGACCATTACTTACATAAATTTGCATCTTCTAATCATTGTAGCTTATATTGTCATACTTTTTAGATGGTCTTCTGCCTACATGATCTGCTTCAGATGTATCTGAACACTCATGCAGTCAGTTTTATCTGTGTGTTTTCTTTTGCAGCGCATCCACTATCTGTCTCTGGAGTTCTACATGGGCAGAACTCTACAGAACACCATGATAAACCTTGGGCTGCAGAATGCTTGTGATGAGGCCATCTACCAGGTAAAGTGCATCACTATGGCAGCAAACTTAATATTATAGTAGAGCATTTGTTACTTAATTGCAGAACTGGCCCACAGCTCTATTACTTAAACATCCTGAATCTTAAGAAACAGCTGTTGTTTTTTCCCCTGCTCACCCACAGAGAGCTCATTGGGGATGTAGACCAATTGCTACAGGCTTGCAAAATGTTCTAAATCCTTCCTTTTCTGAATGTGAAAACACAGAAGTTGCTGAAATATTAAACTTTCTGAAGTTTAGATGATCAATTTAAATTTTGTTGCCCATTATGGAACATTTGTGTTGTGTATGTATGTTTTTATAATGAGATGCATTAGTTGTTTTTTTTTTTGACATGATGGTGCTGATCTTCAGCTTGGACTAGATTTGGAAGAGCTGGAGGATATTGAGGAGGATGCAGGACTGGGAAACGGAGGTCTTGGGCGACTTGCAGGTACCTTTAAAAACAACCTACACCTTCCAGTAGAGTACATGACCCCACCATAATGGGTGTTTGGTGTCTGCTTTCCCTCTCAGCTTGTTTCCTGGACTCCATGGCATCTCTGGGTTTGGCGGCATATGGTTATGGCATTCGTTATGAGTTTGGCATCTTCAATCAGAAGATCACCAATGGCTGGCAGGTAAACCATATTTGAAAAATATGTTAATATATAAGTTTATAGTTAGCAGAAGAAAAAGCTTCTGTTTTTTTTTTTTTTTTTAAATATCAAAACCGTTTAACTCTGGAACAACTTAATTTTTTTAGGTCGAGGAAGCTGACGATTGGCTGCGTTACGGTAACCCTTGGGAGAAGGCCCGTCCAGAGTACATGCTGCCCGTGCATTTCTATGGCCGAGTGGAGCATACAAATGAGGGACCAAAGTGGGTTGATACCCAGGTCAGTCAGTCATGATCTATTGCAATGAATAATAGGTTGTGATGCAAAAATTATTCTGTTCTGGTAGAATAGCAGGAGAAAAAAACTCCTAATTAAATTAGGCTGTAAGCCTAATTAAAATAATAAAATGCAACCACATACACTACTGTTAGATTTTTAAAATGTTTTTGAAAGACTCTTATGCTTACCAAGGCTGCATTTATTTGATCAAAATACTATAAAAACAGTAATGTTTTTATGCTGCTTAATATTTTTGTGAAAATTTATAATTGTTTTAGGATTCTTTGATGAATATGAAGTTCAAAAGAGCAGCATTTATTAAAAATTTATATTTTTTTGTAACGATAAATGTCTTTACTGTCACTTTTGATCAATTTAATGCACCCTTGCTAAATATAAAAATATTAATAAAAAAAAAAATCATACTGACCCCAAACATTTGAATGGTAGTGCAATGGAATGGATTGTTATAATGGTAAAAACAATGCACTTATTCATTTGTAAAAGATGAAAGAGAAAGGAAAGACAAAAGGTTGTGCGTCCAATCAAACTTTACTTGCTGCATTAGACACAAGTTCTTCAGTTCATGGTAATGTTTAATATGTTAATTTTTTTAAAAGAGATTTTACTTTTGTACAATAAACAATTTTAGCACTGGTTTGGGTTGACAAGAAACCTGGATAAAATTTGTATCCTGAAGCAAAAGCAGTTCAAGTGTGTTTTATTTTTTTCTTATGGGGAACAAATGCCCCCACAAGGATAGTAATACCAGTAAATTTTGACCTTTTTTTGGTCGAAACAAGCTTATAAATCATACAGAATTAAGTTTTTTGAAAATCTAAAAATGCAGAAAGTTTTGCGTGAGGGTTAGGGTAGGATAGAAATTACAGTTATACAGTATAAAAATCATTACATCTATGGAATGTCCCCATAAAACATGGAAACCTGTGTGTGTGTAGGCATGGGAGATCACCACAAAGACGTGCGCATACACAAACCACACAGTGTTACCTGAGGCTCTGGAGCGCTGGCCTATCTACATGTTTGAGAAACTTCTGCCACGACACCTGCAGATCATCTACGAGATCAACCAGCGACATCTGGATGTGAGGATTCTCACTTACTCCACCTCAAGATCATCATGTCGTTAAATGAACTGCTTTGTCTGATCGAGTCTCTGTTGTAGAGAGTTGCTGCGCTGTATCCAGGCGACAATGATCGTTTGCGCAGGATGTCTCTGATCGAGGAGGGCAATCCAAAGAGGATCAACATGGCTCACCTTTGTGTGGTTGGGTCACACGCCGTTAATGGAGTTGCACGGATTCACTCAGACATTGTCAAAACCACTGTGTGAGTAGAGTGCATCAGTCGTTATACAAGATTATTTGACAGAGGAATGATGCAAATTATGTTTATTACATTTATTACAAATACAATTATAATCACAATTATTTCCAGGGAGCTTTTTTTTTATTTATAATTTCGGTTTCAACATTTTGTTCTGTGTAGAGATACTAGTTAGGTCAATTGTATATTGATATATTAGACATTTAGAACTTGGAGACATTTAAGACATTTCTTTGGTGGTTTAAGGTTTAAGGACTTCTGTGACATTGAGCCAGAGAAGTTCCAGAACAAGACAAATGGTATCACACCTCGTCGCTGGCTGGTGCTGTGCAACCCCGGCCTGGCTGACATCATCGCTGAGGTGACCTTCTTAACTAAGTAGCTCTTGCTTGCTCTTCCCCCACAGGTTTTCTTTCTGTCTTATGCTTGTTTTCCTTTCAGAAAATTGGTGAGGAATTCCTGACAGATCTTTTCCAGCTAAGAAAACTGTTGGACTTTGTCGATGATGAAATGTTCATTCGGGATGTGGCCAAAGTGAAACAGGTCTACATTTATGTTGTTGTTGTTGGTGTTTTTTTGTTTTTGGTGTTATGGTATTCATGTTCATGTTATTTATTTATTTACTTATTTATTTTAGGAGAATAAGCTGAAGTTTGCAGCGTATCTGGAGAGTGAGTACAAAGTAAAGATAAATCCTGAGTCCATCTTTGACATCCAGGTCAAAAGAATCCATGAGTACAAGAGACAACTGCTCAACTGCCTTCATGTCATCACTTTATACAACAGTAAGAATTACACACAAAGGAACGTGTTCACACTGGGTTGATCAGTGCCTGTCTGAGGACAGAGGAAGTGACCAAAGATATTGCACTTTTATTAATATTGGTTTGTCTTTTACTGATGTAGGTTATTTTATTCAGTTAGATATATAGACAGGGGTGCACATAAGTGGTGCGCATGTGCGACCTAAATAAAAAATGCACTGGGTAAATAAGTTCAGACCGCTCATTTGCGGACCGACATGGTTGACAGCGGTTAATGCACAATCACCGTTTTAGATCGATTAATACTGTAATACTTTATAAGATTTCCATTCGAACTGAACACATAAATCTAGGCTATGTGCTGCCAGTTTAACAGCAAAACTATGGCATTTCATTCACTGACGCGCTGCACTCGATAGCGCTAAAACCTGCAGTGCATATGTTTACTTGCTGGCAACCCGCCAAAATGAATGCTTGCTGATTTTAGGTTTGAAAATGTTGAAAATTCATATTAAAAAAAGAAAAGAAAATGTAAATATTGGCATTGTATTTTTAAGTGCACTATACAATAACTATTTTTATTTAATACTCTTTTAAAAATATATATATAATATTATTAAACTTTATTTATTATTTTATTTAAAAACTAAATAAAGTGCAATAATACTATTATTACTGTTATTAATTATTTTATTTATTATAGTTCTATTTAATGGGTCTCACTATATGCAGTGTAAGCACCAAACCAATCTCCAGGTTTTCTCATGAGAACCAGACTGAAAAACCCTGCACCCCTGTATATAGATGTCTCTTCTATAGCTGCTTTTTTTTTGTAGAGTTGTATTAAAATATTTTTTGTTTATCCGAATTATGTAGGAGTTTCCTTTTTTAAATAACTCAAATTAATGAGTGATTAGTGAGTGATTTTATAAATGATAATTTTTTCATTCTGCACTTTCTAGGGATTAAGAAGGAACCAAACAAGAAGTTTGTTCCCAGGACAGTGATGATTGGAGGAAAGGTATGTGCATTCAGTTGAATTTAGTTCACTTTTTAAATTATTATTGTTAAAGGAACACTCCACTATTTTTGAAAATATGCTCATTTTCCATTATTATTATTATTATTATTATATAGATATGTAGATAATGGTCATAACTGCATTTGAAGTGTTTTAAAACTGGGGTCCTCAAACCACTAGAGGGCCTCAGCAAACTTCTAAGGGGGCTACAGGTTGGCTTCAAATGATATGAAGTTATATATAATATAATATAATATAATATAAGATATAATAAAATAATCAAACTTAATTGAAAACAAGCTGCTTTTTTTCATATGATGGGCCTTCGAATCTTGTGCTGGACAGTGGGAGGCCTTCAGATCAAAAAGGTTGAGAACCACTGCTTTAAGAGTCCTAAAAGTTCTAAAAGGTATTTTTTGTGTTGTCCTGCACTGCCTCCTGCAGGCAGCACCAGGCTATCACATGGCAAAGATGATCATTAAACTGTTCACCTCAGTGGGGGAGGTGGTGAATCATGATCCTGTGGTGGGAGACAGACTCAAGGTCATTTTCCTGGAGAACTATAGAGTCTCTTTAGCTGAGAAGGGTGAGTAAACATAAACAACTGTTAATGTATAGCCAAAAAAAAATCAAATATCTGATCAGGTTTATTAAGTTTTTTCAAGATAACATGAAATAATTGAACTAATAATTACTATTGCTATAGTTGCTTTTTTTTCTAATGTAATGGATTATGCAGATAGTATTTGATTGAATGTGTCATATGCTCTGTTCTTCAGTGATCCCTGCTGCCGATCTGTCCGAACAAATCTCCACGGCAGGTACAGAAGCCTCTGGTACAGGGAACATGAAGTTCATGCTTAACGGCGCTCTGACCATCGGCACCATGGATGGCGCTAATGTGGAGATGGCAGAAGAAGCTGGAGAAGAAAACCTGTTCATCTTTGGCATGAGGGTGGAGGATGTGGAGGCCATGGACAAAAAGGGGTGAGAAAGAGTGAATGGATAGAAATGGGATAAAACAGAAAACAAGGGAAATTTAAGCTGGAGGGCTGATGTAATCAAACAATGAAAGAATAACATGGATATAAGTCCCTGGTTGTGAAATTTGTTGAGGTATTTTAGAGTCATTTATTTGTGAGAACATTCTAAGCTAAAATCAGTAATTGCTCACTCAAGGTCATTTTCCTGGAGAACTATAGAGTCTCTTTAGCTGAGAAGGGTGAGTAAACATAAACAACTGTTAATGTATAGCCAAAAAAAATCAAATATCTGATCAGGTTTATTAAGTTTTTTCAAGATAACATGAAATAATTGAACTAATAATTACTATTGCTATAGTTGCTTTTTTTTCTAATGTAATGGATTATGCAGATAGTATTTGATTGAATGTGTCATATGCTCTGTTCTTCAGTGATCCCTGCTGCCGATCTGTCCGAACAAATCTCCACGGCAGGTACAGAAGCCTCTGGTACAGGAAACATGAAGTTCATGCTTAATGGTGCTCTGACCATCGGCACCATGGATGGTGCTAATGTTGAGATGGCAGAAGAAGCTGGAGAGGAACACCTGTTCATCTTTGGCATGAGGGTCGAGGATGTGGAGGCCATGGACAAAGCGGGGTGAGAGAGTGAATGGATATAAATGGGATAAGACAGAAAAAAAGGATGCTATAGGCTAGAGCAGTGTTTCTCAACTGGTGGGTCACGAGTGTCGTGGAGTGTGCAGTCAAAGAAACATCAACAACAAAAAACGTAATTGTAAATGTTTTTCTGATGTAAGACTTTTATTTAAAAAAAAGAAACGTGCGAGAAAGCTGTTGACACTTCTGTCAGATGCAGTTGAAGTAAAGAGTGCTTGAGAAAAATCGCGCTGTCCTGATTCAGTATCTGCGGTCAGATGAGATATTGTCAGGTTTAATGTCAGTGTCATTATTCTATAGTTATTTTCATAACTTGTTACGAAATAAAAAGTCTCTCACCTCAGAAAAACAAACTATCCTGTCCTGTCAGACGTTATATACTGTGCTCTTTGCGCGCACTCTTCAATTTCACACACAAATCTTGCACGCAGCTCACACTGTATTTCAGTTCACTAAAGTGCAAAAGAAACTACGAGCATGCAAAGTGTGAAATAAAAGTAAAGTAGCAATAAATCACATAACTGGTACTTTGTGTGTTAGCTGGGAAGGATTTGCATGAAGTATTCACCATGGTAACTGTTGTTTTCATAACCCAAAAATGCCATCTTATTTTCACTTTGTGTTATTTTTTTTTATATGTTTAAATGACTCTGGTGGCTCATACCAACTTAATTGTATTAACAAAATCTAGTTTAGGACTGCTATTTAATAGCATTAACTTATTGGCTGTTTATTCATCAGTATTAGTTATATTCTTACATTTTGTGTTTAAGTAAAGGGGGGACGATACTTGTGTGTCAACAAATATATATATA